ATTTTTGATCTCAGAATTATTTTGGAAAGCTTCCCCCCCCTTTTTTTTTTATTTAAAAAATCAAAGTGTTTAGCTTTTCACTGGAAATTCTCTTCTTCCAGTGGGAGGAAGATGGTGGAGAGAACATACTGTTCTACTAATGCTTTGGTTCTGTAGACCAAAGAAGTTCAACATGACCTTAAGTATACAAACTGGGTAGTTTCTGCATCTTTTGTAAATTACAGAACTGAAAGTATCAAATTCTTTGAGTATTCATCTCTTTTTAGATTTGGTGAACTGAAGAGTTCTTTATAGAGGTGCTGAGTGCATCATCTCCTTCCAAACCCAGGTCTGCACAGGTTTCAGCTGTAGTCCAGATCCATCATAGCCTTGGCATACATTTAAATCTTTTAAAAATAACTCTCCAGGCTTCTTGTTTTTTTCCTCTGCCAAAAGCACAGGCATCAGGACTTACTGAGATGAGGGTTGGAGCAAGATAAATACAATCTTTCTATACCATGAGCAAACCATGCTTTTTAGATATGGTGTTCCCAGAAATGGTAGCAGACTTTTCAGAATTAAAACCTCTGGTCAGTTTATTTATGCTCCTCTGCTAACAAATGGTTTGCTTGATTACTTTTAAATGTTGTATTTCTGGAACAAAAACAGAATACTGGCTTTTAACTCTAGCTTTTAATTCTGTGTGCCTTATTATTTCAGCTTATGAGTAGGCTGAGAGGTTTGTTTTGTTTTGTTTTGTTTTACAAAGATGGATTGTTTTAATATCATTGTATAGCTGAATGTTTAAATTCTGACTGTTTTAACTTCCACTGCTCTTCAGTAATTGGTACAAAGCTTGAATCTTTTTCTATGACTTCTTAAAAAGCCCTTAGTTGATGGAAAAGTTTTATGTCAAAATCTTGTCTAACTGTTAGAGTGATGTACAAGACTGGTGGAAATGCATTCTGGGATTTCTATGACTTGTGATACTGCTTTTTAGCTCTCTGATAATGAAATAAAAATGAAGGCTATAGACAGTTTACCTGCCATGAAGCCATGCAGAAGTAAGATTCAAGATTTGGGTATATTTTGGTTACTAGATGTTTTACATGGTTAATACAACGGATATGAGGAAGGGGAATAGATGACAAGCATTTGTATAGAATGGCCTGAAGACCTGGTGCCTTAGACCTGAATATTTATCTGAATTTGGGGAAAATGTACGTCTCTACCTGAAGTTTATGGCTGGCATTTTCTTTAAATACAGCAGGTTCTGTCCATGCTTTGCACTTGAGCACTTGTAATGTTGTTGGGGAATGAGGACACTATTTGGGTACCAGAGTTTTGTCTTGACCAGAACATTGCTCCGTGCTCTCTTATGGATCTGGAGTTGTCTACAGGGAACTTTTCATCTGTCGCAAGAGCTGGATCTAGCATTTTTTAAGCTTTTTACTTTTTTTTTTTTTTAAATTAAATTGTACTAAGAAGTAAAATTGGGTTCTCCAGGAAGTGAAGTCTAGTTATCAGAATATGTGACATTCTGCTTTGCCCTGCCTGCAATTATTTTTGAGGTGGAGTTTTTCTGAGATGGGATTTGCATAATCAGTTCTAAGAAAGACACAGGTATTTGCATTCCTATTCTGCTTTCAATCTTCAACTTGTCCTGAAAATTGAGGAGGTTTTTTGGTGATGTTTTCTTTTTAATAACATTTTTATGTTTATTTGAAAAGTATGAGACAAAGAGTGAATTAAAAGTATATGTGAGATGTGATAAGACTGCTAATTTTTTCTGTGTGCTGAGAAGAGTTAGAATCCTTTGAAAGATTTTATCCAAAGCTTTTAATTGGTATTTTAAATGTTTATCACTGCTGATAATTCGTGTCTAAATTTGTCAGCTCATATGGCATAGCTGCAGCTTCTAAGATCAGAAGTAAGTTCTTTTTTCTCTCCAGCTGGTTTCCTGTAAAGTGCTGAATTATTCTAGCTTTTATGGGTCATTGTTAAAAATGGCAGGAAGGGTCATTGTTAAAAATGTTTTCAGAACTTTGATAACCAGTTTATCAACAGATTCACATGTTTAATCAGTTAATAGGTTTTCCTTTTCAGTGCATGGGAATTTCTTTGTTTATCTTAACTGAGTAACTGTTTCTACAGTGGAAAGAACTGTAGTTGACTGATAATCTTCTAAAATATGTGGAGTTTGCTCTTGTGATGCAAGCTACATGGCCAGATCCTGCATTTTTATTCATTAGTCTGTGTTCATAGGAATAGTCCACCAGAATGAAGTGCGAGGGTTTATATGTGAATGAAACCCCGAAATGGTCCTGTCTTCTGGGATTCAGGGCATGGAGCCATAGTTATTAGGCAGTTGATGGTAAGGCTTATAAAGGCATTTGGGTATTTAAAAAGATGGGTAGGAGCTTTGAAGAATTTTGCTGGGTGGTTAGGTGCCAAACATCTGGGTTTCTTCCAGTACCTTGTCAAGAGGACACTTCATCGCCAAAAATGCCAGTGTGTCAAAAGGTACATGTTTAGCATGAATTATCTCTGAGAACTGAGGTCCTCTGCTTCTCTGTGACCTGTTCTAGGGCTACATCACCTTTCTTCTGAAAAAGTTTTTCCTAGTTCATCATCTCAGACCAGACAGGCCAGGGCCATGCTTCAGATGAAGCCCTGTCCCCACTTTGCCTCACCTGCTGAGAACATGCTCTTGGCTCATATTCAGCTTGAAGATGGGGGTTTTTTTCTGCTATTCCCATTGTAATAAGACCAGTCTGTTCCTGTGTTTATAAACAAAATTTAGGCCATTCAGAACTGTAAACTTTATTTTGCTTTTTTAAAAAAAAAAAATAAATTCAATGATGTTTGCTTTCTATGTAAAGAACAACTTGGCATGAAATAATACACAAGTCGCAAGATTTGAGTTTACATGACATTTATCTGCCTTGAAATTGCAGAGACTTCCAGAGCCCCAACACTCAGTTGGGGTTGTCAGAGAACACAGCAGCTTCTGGGAACTGGCATCATGTTTGTATATGTGAGAAAGAGTTAGCAGCTTGTTTTGTGTGATCTGGTTTCCTTCTAGATACGCTCATTCCAGTTGCTACATGAAGGAAATGTGTTGAGATGAACACAAATAGGAAGTAAAAAAAGTTAGGCTGGAAACCCAGACATTGGAGTTTTGTTGGTATGTCTCAGACTGAGGAAGGCACAGACGTATTAGTAGAAAGTCAGCCCAGCTTGACAGACTTTGGTTTCACACATTGTGGCTTACATCTCAACTATAAAGACATTTCTAACTTCCTCCTGTGAATCCCACAGAGGTGAAATGGAGTGTATTCTGTCTTGTTGAGAGAGCACTGGGGACTGTTGATGGAGAGGCATGGTTGGAAAACACATCTGGGCCTGGTTATGTACCATGAAAAATGTCTATCTGGAGCCTGCCCTTTCAGGTTTGTATTAAGCCAGGGCAGGACTCTACCACCATCTGAAATGATCCACTGCTTTGTCAGCTGATGTGATGGAGAATGAGCAGGGAGGAGGCTGCAGGGATTTATTTTTTCCTGTGACCACCAAAAAGCAAGAGGCGATGGGAAGGAAGCAATGGGATCCTGTGGGTGTGGGTGAGAAGAAAGCAGAAGATTGGGTTAAGCCAGTTGTAAAACTTGTGTTGAGTCAGCCCCTGGTGTATATGGAGCATTAATTCAGTAATCCAGTGGGTTTTTTGATAGAGCAAAACTTCTGAGACTTGAGCAGGCACTAGCCTTTGAAAAGCATTGCTCCATATTTGCCTGTGGATATTTAAAAACAGTGATACCAGTGCTGCTTACAGTGTTTGAATATTTGCCTGCTTTAAAAAATATTTTATTTTTAAAAAGTGCTTTTTAAAAAAATGCTGCTGTGAAATGCAGTGAAGGTAATTGGAGTGTGGTGTTTGTGACTGTTTTTTTTGTTATTGTCAATATTCTGTTCTAGTCTATCAAAAAAATCCTCTTTGTTAGAAAGCCTGAAGCAAATAAGATCTTCCAATTTTTTGCTGAAGCTTTCTGGAATTTAAAAGCAATTCATAAGGTACAATGTAAGTGTAGAGCATAGGCAATTATTAGGATTTCAACAACAAATAATGCAGCCCATGAAACATTAGACTTATTTCCTTCTCATTTAAACACTGTAATGTGTTTCGCCCCAGCTAAACGTGCTCTTGAGCTTTTGTGTCAAAGTAAATCATGATCTAATGCTCACCAGATTAAATCTAAATGTTAGAGTATTTCCTTTCTAATTCTGGCTCTTCCCTCTACGATCATATTATTTATCTAGTCAGTTATGTGCAAGTGTGAATGAGGAGATGTGATGTGTCCGTGCAGGCAAACACCCGTGGCAGCGCTGCCCGCAGCCGCCGTCTGGCCTGCGCCATCCAGGGGAAAGCCAAGTGGATAATTAGGTAAAAAGCATAATAAGATCCATGTCTATAAGGCCAGCTTGGCCCAAAAGACTTTTATTTGTGTGAATTTCTGGTACAAATGTTAAAGATCCCGGCTACTTAATTGGTCGCTGAGCTGCGGGGGGAGCACCCCGGGGTGAAGGGCTCAGCCGGGCGGGCCTGAGTGGAAGCGACAGGCGAGGCCGCGCGGGGCCACCTGCGCCGCCGGCTGATTAGAACATTTCATGTCAACGTGTTTGTGGCCTCGGAGCAAACAGGCCCAATTAACAGGCCTGAAAGCCCCTCTCCAGCCAGCCATCACTAACACTCCAGATAAAATTTGACATCTTCCTCCGCCTTCCCCCTTCTCCAAACTCCAATTAGTTTAAATGGTTTCACGGAGGGACCGTGGCGCTGCTGAAAAGGCAGAGGACTTTGCTTGGGTAATCAGCTTAAATACTGGCCCGTTTCCTGCCCTTGCTGCTCCAAACTTCCCATTTGGGAGACATAAATACTGTTTTTATTTTTAAATCTTTTTTATCTCCAATTTCCTCCAGTTTTTCTGATGTGCCTTGTACAAGACTCCATTTCAAAGGGCAGGATGGTGCGGCCTGTAAACTGGGTGCAGATGGGAACTTTTAAGTTCAATGTTGATTGTCTTTATTGGAAGGAAGAGGTAATGAGGGGGTTCACACGGAAAAGGTACATCTTCTCTGACAGACAGAAACTAGTGATAATTAGGAAGAAATCTGGACTTTCATTTCTTTTTATACTTCTTAAATGCTTGCCTAAATGAGCACTTTGCATCTGCTGCTGTAGTAGCAGATCAGTGATTTCTGAAGTTAAAGAAAAGGTAACAGCTTGCTGCATACATTTTTATATTCAGCTCCAAACATGCCAAAGTCTGTGTCAGTGGTAAGACAAGCTTTGAAATGCCAATATGACAAACCCATGTACAGACAGAAGCTATCACAGAAGCATCAGGGAATTCAGTATGAAAATGTAGTTAAGCCTCTGCCAGTATTGAATTTTTCACTGTCCTTACTCGAGGGAATTGCCATCAAGTGGAAGTGTGCTTCATGGGATCAGGGTTTTTACTCAGGTGAAAGACTTGAGTGTGTTTCATTTTAGGAGGGTGAGTAATCTGTGGGAACATTCCTAGACTTCACATTATGCATGCACACAGTTTTATTCTTGTATTCACCAATAATTTTTTGTCCATCAAACCTCCCTTCTTAAACTGATGAGGAAATTCTGTTTTCTAACAGGAGAGCTTGGGATCAAAGAAATATCCTGCTTTTGAGTTGGCTTGTTTCTTTTCAATGACCAGTATTTCTCTAACTCAACATTCTCTCCTTTTTCTTAGCAAGCAGTAGCTCTTGGCCTAGAAGACAAACTGCCTTCTAGTCTTACTGTGGCTGATATATCGTGCTTGGGAAGCCGGGACATGATGACCTCCAAGGATGGCAGCCAGCAGGAAACCCATGGTTGGACCTGCAATGATGCAACACACCAGAAGTGAGTGTTATCATCCTCCACCCAGCCAACATGCCCTTCTCAGAAATTCTTTCCTGAGCATTTTAGAGATCTAAGACTGTCAAATGTTTTTATACCAGGGGCTGTGACACTATGTGATATTCAGAAAATTGTTCTGGGACACTCTACAGATTTCTAGAGGCAGATGCGTGTCACGTGTGAGGAGAGAATCATCCTCTCCTTAAAGCCCAAGCTAGGACCCATGTAGCTGTTACATGTGGAGCCCGCAGGTGTAGGTGTGCACTGCACACAGTGTGCCTGGCAATCTGCGTTCAGGATGTCACTCAGATCACCTGAGAAGTGTTCAGAAGCTACTCTAGTGTTAAGGAGAAGTGGTCTGTACGAAAATCAAGCTTTTTGTCCCACCACTGTAGCATGTCAATTGTTGTTTCAGAAGGTAGGGGCTGGATGCTGTTGCTAATTCATTGTACTGGTTGATTGGAAATGGCATTGGGTTCCACATCCACAGTAATCACAGTGTCTGGGCTGAGCTTGTCTCCTACAAGGGCACTAAAATAAATTGACAGATATTTACAAGACTATGGCACACAGCCCTTCCGCAGCTAAGCTTAGGTAGCTAAATGTCAGTCAAGCTTTCTTAAACTTAATATGTTAACAGCAGAGGTTAAAATGTGATTTTCTCTGGGGGAAGATATTGTATTCTTCACCTCACATCAGCAAAGCCAGTGTTCACTTCAATCTATCCCAGCCAGAAATGGATAAAACCTTTTCCTGACTGGATTTAATGGGAAAGACATACCCTGCTCCCAGGTGTTTGGTAACTGAACAATTACTTATTTTTCATATATTTTGTTGTTGTCAGTTTACACATTTGCTAGCTTTTCTCTTTTTTTTAAACATTATCCTACTGTGTTGCTATTTTTCCTAGTGTTGTTTTCCTAGCGTTATATAATGATGAATCATGAACATTGACTTTCTATATGTGTAATGCTCTCTCTCTCTACATATATATTTATATAAAAATCTGGGTGGTGGCAGGGAGAGAATTATTCTGTCTGCTCCATCTTTTGTTTGGATCTGGTTGCTATAGAAATACTAAGATCAATTTTGACAACATAAAGTACTACAAATTACACTGTTGGATTACCTCATTACAGGGGGCTGGATTGCAACATTACTGAAATGAAAAGCCTGAACACTACAGGAATTTCTACACTATGGAAAAATGTTATTTTTGGACTCTCCAGGAAGGCGTGCATATAAAACCACTGGTTCCCTGGTGAGTGACTGGTCCCTGAGACCAGCAGAACTTTCCTCTTAATTTTTGGTGCTGGTAGGTGATGTCATAGTTGGCCATACAGTGACTTTGAGCTGCAACTGGCATCTCGCTCACAAAGGCTTTCATGTTTTTCCTGTTGAACACTGAGGCAACTGATTTCTTACAAGACTGATGGAATCAGTCTTTTTTTTTGTGTGGTCTACTACCTATGTGTCCTTGTCTTGATATAACTATCATTGTAGTGATTTGCCCTCCCTGCTTGAGTAGGAAGTGCTGCACTGTGCCTTACAGTCTCAACACTGGCTGAAGTTAGAAGCAACTGCCCTTTAGCTCATGGGCAGTGATGAGCCTGCTGTAAGAACAACAGCTCTGGGCTGTGGTCTCTCTGGCAATGTCTCTCCATGCTGCCTAGGGATGGCCATGAAATCTCAAGTTCCTGTAGAGGTTTTTTTTCATGCTGAAGGAACTTAGACATGTTTATTTACAGATGCAGGCCTTGCTTGAGTGAGTTTTGCAGTTTAAGTCAGGGAAGTGTCTTGTGCTCTAACTACTACTGGTGGACATTTATTGCTGTGTTAGTAAAAGACATGTTTAGTACTAGGTTTTATTTAGGAAACCATTTATACGTTGGTATTATTTGTATACAGGGAGACAATCTGTGTGATTTGGCAAATGGTTTAGTCATTCTGTTTTTCTTCTAGTCAAAAATATTACTCTTGCTATATCTAATCTACAGTTATAAATTGCAGCAGAGGTACAAGTCCAAAACAAACATTTTGAAGAATTTGAATGGAGTAGAGCCCCAGTTTCCATTTCAGTACTCTCTCTGTTGTCCAATTTATTAAACTCAAGTGGTCCCATGTGCGAGTAGCATGACTGCCAGAAGTGCTCTCCAGCCATCTGCTTTTTTGGTAACTCTTTGATTATTTCTTTGTCTATTTTTTCTATCCAGAATTAGAACTGGCAATTCAATTGCTTGATTAATATTGTATTTTTTATAATTTAACACTTCCAGCCTATGGATGGGAAATGGCAGCAAGGTAATAAAAGGCACAAGAAATAAAATGAAGTCCCACTGCACTATGGTGGAGCTTTTTTTACTATGTTTCAGATTTTCAAGAATAGCAAGAGAATTGAGTAGGAAAAGTTTTATTGTTTGTGGGTAGTATCTAACTGGAAGAGGTAGCAGCCTTCATTGCTGTGATGAGCTGTCTTGGAAATGGGAAGAATTGCCAGGCACTGATAGAGGCATTTGCAGCAGAGCTGAGCTTAGAAGCTAGCACTGCATTTCAGTCTGAGCCAAGCCATGCAGCAGGGGAACAGAAGTTAATGAACCAGAAAGCAGGTTCAAAACCCTATGGGAGAAGCTGTGATCTGTGTCCTACAACTGATGGGGCATGTGTCCAGATTGTCTCAACTGAAGCTTAACTTGAGGTCCTGGGATTCTTCAGGGCTGGAAGGGGCACTGTGAGATGCTGTGGTACAGCTGGGTGTACCAGCCTCTGCCTGGCTGCTCCTGGTTCAGGGATCAGAAGAAACCACTTGATCTTTTAGAGGCTGTGGTTGGTTTCATCTGACTTATAGAGTGTAACACTTTGGTGGTGAAGGAAAATTGGCTTCAAAAAAGGCAGCCTAGAGGACTCCTGAGTCTCAGTGCATGTTGTAAGCAGTCTGCCACGTTTGCATGACTTCAGGTTTTCAGCTTCAGTTCACAAGTGGCATCACTTGACTGAAAAAAATAGGTTTTAGACACAAATGAAGAAATTCTCCTGGACAAATGAATGCTACAAGACAATCAGAGGGTATATGAGAACTCTAGATCATGGCCCTTGTATTTGCTGCATTTAACTGCCTAATTCATGACATGGTGCCTTTGAATCTGAGCATGCTGGGTCTGTTCCAGATGGAAGCCAGGAAAGAGAGTCATGGATGTGCTCTGCAATGCAGACTTGGCCAGGGATTGCATGATAAAGAATAACTTACTATTCATTTGTTTGGTGTTTGGTTTTTTTCCACTTTTTAAATAAATTGCAGCAGAATTTTGGTCTGGTGAGCAGCACCTTGTGAAAGTGCAACAGGTTGACAGAATAATGATTTAAATCTCATGTGCCACATGCAGAGGTTTGGTATTTCCAGCAGCCACTTGGAGCTGCAGTGCTGATGTGAGATGAGCAAGAGAAAGGCTCTTTCTTTGGTGCAGGATCACAATGAAAAATGGACCATATTCAGATGTTACTGTTGGGGAGAACAGCTGGTTCCCTAACCCAACCTCTCAGTTCTTGCATTTGTCCTTGTCATTTCTCTTACTGTGTAGACAAAGGGAAAATGTTTCTTTCAGATCATAAAGGGCTCTGGAAACTCAACTCCCTTTGGTATTTGAAGAATTGCCCTCTGATTGTGTAGGAAACATTGGGTTTTATGGCAGTATTATGCAGAAAATCAGAAGTTCACAGAACTCTGGTGGTTTCAGGGATGCTGTTGCGGGTGCACTGCTCCAACTTGGTGTATCTGGCTGGTCTGCATCTCTTGATTTGCAGGCTGCTAATGGCTAGCAGTGCTCACAGCTGTCAGAATGGAGAAAAAACAGGCATTGTTTCCAAATATACAAATGCTCAACACATAAAAAATATTTTTGTTTTAAATTATAATAAAGGGGGGGAGAGGAAAGGGGAGTAATTTAGCAAGCGGGGATGTGGTGGGAGCCAGCCAGGCTGGGGTTTGCTAATATCTGAACTAGGCTGTTGAAAAATGTTCTAAATCTGTCAGAAGGTCGTGCAAGCTCAACTCTGCCCAGTTTAAGTTAGTGGTGACAGGATCAGGCCCTCGTTTACTTTTTTATGTGGTGTTATAAATTACTTTCCCATATTTCCAAAGACATTAACGAATCATTTCAAAGCACATTCTGAAATCGTTGCGTGTTATGTAAACTACTTATCCATATGTACAATAAGTCAGTGCAGTATATGGGGGTTATTCCTTTTGTTTTGCTATTGCAAAAAACTGGCAAACTTCAAAATCTTTCCTCCCCATCCAGCTGTGGTTTTTTCCAGGTAAAAGGATGGCAGATGTATTCAGCTCTTTTTTCAGAGCAGATATTGCTTACTGGAAGAACAAATTTAGCTCGCTACCCTTTTACTGTAAACTTGGTTTTGTTTTTTATGTATTTGTAATTTCCTTTAAACCATTTGTAAAGAAGTTAGAAATACTGTGTCATGTCATCTGACTCTATTAATAATCAGAGCTCTTTATATGGGTTCTTTAGGAATCTGTCAAGTAGGAACAAACTGTATGGTAAATATTTCCAAACTCTTCCTGCAGAACAAATATTCACTGCATTGTTTCCTTATTCCTTAGAGCATTCTGCCTTTACTTGGAGCGTTGTAGTCAGGGATTTAACTGCTAATTGTTATTTCCAAGAAGAATATTTTATTTTATTCCTTTAAGGTACAAAAATATGTCACTTTTGCAACAACATTCATCTTCCATTAAGAAAAAAAAAAAAAAAGAAAAATGTCATTGGAAAATGGTGAGAGTTAGGTTTTGATGCCCGAGCCAGAAAGCTGGTGGCTGGTTTGCCTGCTCACCTCAATCTAGCAAGACAGTGATTGACTGTCACTGGATTTGATGACCTCCAAAAATTTCTTTATACCTAAATTAATTTGTGATCCCTTGAAATGGAAGGTTCCCCTCTCTTTCCTCCTTGTGTCTTCC